TGACCAAACTATCCTGTACAGCCCAAATGTGTGTGTGTGTGTGTGTGTGTGTGTGAGAGAGAGAGAGAGAGAGAGAGAAACAATTAAGGAAAAGAAAACCTGTCTCCCAACTCTCTAATCTCAAAATATCAAATTTTTTTCCACTCCATTCCAAAGGAAAATCATATTATAGATAGGGACTACCCATGTCCCTAAAAACGCAATCCCCAGAAGTCCTGACATCCATCCTTTCCCAATGCTGAAGTTTTAAGAAAAGCAGAAACTGGCAGCAAGACTCTCAGGATCTCCTTAATAGCCTCTTCTCTCCTCCAAGACAGGCATGCGTTAAATTCTTCCTCTCCCTAGTTAGTTTTCATCTAGTTCCCTGATACCCCGAGTTCTCTTGTAGGATCTCTGAAGGCAGAGTGAGAGCAGAAACTTCATCTCACATGAGTGTAGGGGCATCTCCATGATGGTGGGTCCCAAAGCCCCTGTGGGCAGGACCCAACCAGAACCTTCCTTGGTGCCTGTCCCTTAGTGCATTCAGGTCATGGCACCTGGGCAGGGATGTTCCTTCATTCGGAATGATGGGTTTCTCTCCTCACCCTTTATAAACTCATCCTTATCGCTGTCTCAAATTAAAAAGAATTCTGCAGCAGCTGGTTTCCCGTGGTGTTTTTCCAGTCCTATATTATGTGTGGAGTCACCACTTCTTCCTCTCACTTCGTTTCTGCTTCCTTAAGTACCTAGCTCACCTAGCTGTTAAGTATTTTGTTTTTCTCATAAGTGCTCTAGACCTTTCGTTGGCTCACCCGAAAACACTGGGTGGGACTGGCTGCACACAGTTGCCGCGACACGAACACGGAACTCTCAGAGTCAGCCCCCGCACTGCCTCATTCAGATCCCCTGGGGAGTCCCTTCTTGAATCTTCTCTCTCTCTCAACAAATAGGCATACATTTTTGTTTACAAAATTAATTTCTGCTCACTATTAAAAATCTAAAAACACATACAAGTAGAAGAAAAGCATACCAAAACCCACTTCTAATCAGAGGAGTCAAGAATATACAGGAAGCCCTATCTAGCCCATGCTGTTTTATAATTAAACTTCAATCTTCATATGAAGACAAATTTGAGAATATCAGAAACAGAAAAGATTGTATGAAGAATAAAATAGGTGTTTTTTTCTTTCCCTTTTCACAAATTACTATTAACACAGCTACTTGCACTTTATTTATTTTTTATTATTACTTTTTTTAATTAGTTGGAGGCTAATTACTTTACAATATTGTAGTGGTCTTTGTCATACATTGACATGAATCAGCCATGGATATACATGTATTCCCCATCCCGATCCCTGCTACTTGCACTTTAAAAGGGTCTTTTTGTTCTTTAAAAAGTACACGAAATGTAAGTATCAGTGAGTAATGTCAAATATAATCCTGGTTTGTACCTAAATAGATGTGATCCCTGACTTAATCTTTATACAGCAACATGAAAATTGACAGAAATGACCAGGAAAGTGATTCTTAAGACTAAATATTCATAGATGATAGACACACATGAGAAATGGAAAATATTTTCAAAATATTTGGATGTTTTGTCTTCTTGAACTCAAAATCTAGTAAGAAAAAAAAATTGATTAAAAAAAACAAAGCTGGGGGGTGGGGGGACTTCCCTGTGGTCCAGTGGCTAAGACTCCATGCTCCCAACACAGGGGGCCCGAGTTCAATCCTTGGTCAGGGAACCAGATCCCACATGCTGCAACTGAAGGGCCTACACATTCCCACAAAGACTGAAGATCCTGTGTGCTGCAGTTAAGACCCAGTACAGCCAAAAAAAGAAAGAAAAAAAAAAAGCTGAGGCTTCCCTAGTGGTTCAGTGGTATAAAGAATCCACCTGCCAATGCAGGAGACACAGGTTTGATCCCTGATCCAGGAGGATCTCACATGCCCCCCACATGCCACAGAGCAACTAAGCCAATGCGCCACAGCTATTAAGCCTGTGCTCTAGAGTCCAGGAGCCCACAACTACCAAAGCCTGGGCACCCTAGAGCCCATGTTCCTCAACCACAGAAGCCACAGCAATGAGAAGCCCAGATTCCGCAACTAGAGAGTAGCCCCTGCTTGCCACAACTAGAGAAAAGCCCTTGAAGCAACAAAGACCCAGCAGAGCCAAAAATAAATAAAATTATATATTTTTAAAAAACTGAATGTCCTTGAACATGTCTGACTCTGTGACCCCATGGACTGTAGCCCACCAGTCTCCTCTGTCCATGGAATTTTCCAGGCAAGAATACCACAGTGGGTTGCCATTTCTTACTCCATGGTAACTTCCTGATCCAGAGATCAAACCCACATCTCTTGCATCTCCTGCACTGTCAGGGAGATTCTTTACCACTGAGCCACTTTGGGAAGCCTGTCCTTGGTCATAACCCACAGGATTTGAGACACCATACATCTTTTACTAGGCAATAGGGTAATTAGGGCAGTGACAGGATTGCAGAACCAGCTACCAGTGGTATTGAAAAATATGTGCTTCATTTATTAGTTATCTTTAAATCTCTGCAGTTCTTGAGAACCCCCAAGGACCTGAATTGTCCTCAGAAGGGTTCCAAATCTGTCACTATTTTCAAATCAGAATACTCAAGGTGCAGGAAGTGGGTAGAGGATGATGGGATGATACAATGTATAAAATCCTCTCAAGATACTGGTCCAGCCCAAATCAGGAAACTAGTTGGACAAAAGTGGATGCCCCAGGAGGGCAACATCCCATGTTCCACAGTGAAGAACCTAAAATGATGAAGGCGGAGAACTGTGGCTTCAACCTGAGTCTGTTATACTCGAGTGTCTGCTGCTGCTGCTAAGTCGCTTCAGTCATGTCCGACTTTGTGTGACCCCATAGACGGCAGCCCACAGGCTCCTCCGTCCCTGAGATTCTCCAGGCAAGAATACTGGAGTGGGTTGCCACTGCCTTCTCCAATGCATGAAAGTGAAAAGTGAAAGTGAAGTCACTCAGTTGTGTCTGACTCTTAGCGACCCCATGGACTGTAGCCTACCAGGCTCCTCCGTCCATGGGATTCTCCAGGCAAGAATACTGGAGAGGGTTGCCATTTCCTTCTCCACTTGAGTGTCTAGGAGGTCTCAATCCTGCCACTGCTCTGGAAAGTCCAGGTGTCATACCCCTTATGCCCTCCAGTGGCTGGCCCTGAAGAGAAAAAAGAGAGGTTGTTCTAGGGATAGCCAAGACCAGAGAAATGAAAAAAAAAAAAAAAAAAAATTCCCTTGCATTGGGAGATGAGGGCAGGTGAGAGAAGGGTGTGGAAGCAGCAGTCCTGATCAGAATGTTGCTTCTGATGACGATGATGGCAGTCTTTATAAAAAGAGAAGATCAAGAGATACTACTTTCCACTTCTCCCTTCCTCACCAATCCATGTAACAGATCTTAGCCCTGGAGAAAGCCATAGGCAGAAACTTCTGGGAGGGGCAGACTGTCCAGAAGGGTCTCAGGAACTCTAGTCTGTTACAGCAGTTAAAACTTGACTGTGACTCTCATGGTGATCATCACTCTTATTACTGGCACTACTACTGCTGTGAATTATTTTTTTTGAACCAGAGGTTCATACAATCTATCATGGAAAGACCTGAGCTAATTGGCTCCAAAACCAGTATTGTCACATGAATCTACTACCCAAACACACCACCCAGCAGGCATCTAGAATCAATAAGGCTCTGCTAATCACAAAACCTTTGAGGAGAGTCCCTGGGGACAGTGTTCTAAAGTCCCAGAGAACCAGGACTGAGACCTTCTCAAACTGTCCTTTCCCAGTTTGTTAAGCAGCCCATCCGTGGAAGTAAGACCCCAATACAGTCTCCCCCATGAGAGATGCTGCAGAGATGTGGTATTTTCCCTGTGGACTGTGTGATTCTTAGGCTTTGAAAGTCCCCACGGTAGTTCTGGAAGCTGGATTCCCCAAACCTTGATAAAGAGTAGCCAAAGTCTCTTCCACAGCACATTGAATCTTGCTCTGTGATCTCATGAATACTCCTTGACTTGGCTTCAGGTCCCAGTAGACAGACGCTGAGACTAGGATTCAGGTACACATAATTTATTGAGAGAGTAGTTTCAGAAAAGGGAATCAGTGAAGAAAGATAGGGCAGGGGAAAGAGACAAGTAAGGATGCAACTTCTGATGGAGTTTAGCTTCAGATAAATTGCACTATAATTATTTCCACTGTGAAGGAAGAGGGATGGACTTTTGTAACACGTTCATCAATCATTAGCTATGGGCTCACCCTCCGACCCCAGAGGCAAAACCAGTGTGAGACGGCTCCCCTTGGTTAAAGGAAATTCTCTGAAGAAGATGGCGGCTGAGGATAATGAGACGGCTTTGGAACTGTGACAACCCTGAGAAGAGTCTCAGGTTTGCCGGCGGAGTTTAGGGGTCCGCGAAAATAAGTTACATTTCTTGTCCGCAACCGGAAAACAGACGAGCTCCCCTCCCCACTCCCAGCCCCCTCATCTCTAACCACCCGGAATTCGAGGCGCGACCTTTTGAAGAACCTGTTGTAAAAGCTATGGAAAGAAACACCTGTGCGACAGACGCACTTTTTCGCTGAATACGTTCATGGCCTTAATTCCCAAAGTTCAGGGCTGGGATCCGTGATGCGCCTCTTCGTAGCCACCAGGGTCCTGCGGGTTCCCACCCTAAGGACGCAGTCTGGACCGCTCCTCGGGCCTCTCCTCCCCGGTCCGGGGCCTCTCAGCCCACGTCACGAGTCGTCTCAGCTCCCGCCTGTCCTTGGGGCCCCCAGACCCACCCCAGCTCCCAGGGCCCTTCCCCCACCCACACCGGGCCTGCAGGGGACGCGCAGCCACGAACATGTGCCCAACGCCCCCTCGTCCGGCTTTATGCTCGTGCCCCCCAGGAGCGGGAGGGGGTGCGACCGAGGGTGGACAGCACCAGGGAGGGGAGGGGCTCACCGCGGGGTGCAGGGACTGGGTTAGAGCGGGGAAAGCGTTACCTTTTCTACGAGCTGATTTTCAGGACCACCTGAGTCCGAGAGGAACAGAGGAGGACAAGAAGTCGGGGGGAACTGAAGTGAACAGTCTTTTTCCGGGTTGGACTTTTTCAAGCGCTCACCAAATTTCCTGAGGCGGAAGCTGCCGAGGTTCCTGCCGACCCCTATCCCCACTCCCACCTCCACACCCGTCTCAAAAGGCTCCGGGTGGAAAGATGTCACGACAGATTTTGACCGTGCTCTTGAGAATGACAGCGCGGGATTTGAAGAGAAACTGCACGGGCTGACACCTGTAGCTGAAGGAAGATGGCCCTTGGGTCCAGCCCCTTGGCTCCACCCGAAAGATGCAGGTTCCTCCTCCTACCAGTCTGGCCCTTCAGGTACCTCAAATGAGTTACGTTATCACATATGACCCGTTATTTCCTGCAAATCCTCAAAGTTTTTTTTTTTTTTTTAGATTACATATATTTTTAAAAATATATATTATAATAGTCTTTATCACTTATTTCCTAGCCGCGACTTTCTGTGACTCTTTTCCTTGGGATAACAGAAATATCCTGTCTAATGCTCCACCTGCCTATTACCGTTGCTGCTCTATTTTTCTGCCCTCAGCGTGTTCTCAGAAAGTGAAGCATCTCCCTGGAGTTGGCATAGTAAAACATAGTTTCGGAAGGCAACAGATTAACAACTGGATTGTTGTTGTTTAGACGCTAGGTCCTGTCTGACGGACAGGACTTTTTCGAACGGACTGTAGCCCACCAGACTCCTCTGTCCATGAGACTTCCCAGGCAAGAATACTGGACTGGGTTGCCATTTCTTTCTCCAGGTAATCTTCCCGACTCAGGGATAGAATCCCTGTCTGGTGCATTGCCAGGCGGATTCTTTACCACTCTGCCAACAACCAGGTAGTTGTTGTTCAGTGACTAAGTAATACCCAACTCTTTGCGACCCCATGGACTGCAGCTCTCCAGGCTTCCCTGTCCTTCACTGTCTCCCGGAGTTTGCTTGAAACTCATGTCCATTGAGTCCATGCAGCCATCCAACCATCTCATCCTCTGTCACCTGCTTCTCCTCTTGCCCTTCTCCAGCATCAGGGTCTTTTCCGATGAGTCGGCTCATCAGGTAACCTAAGTATTGGAGCTTCAGCTTCATCATCAGTCCTTCCAATGAATATTCAAGGTTGATTTCCTTTAGGATTGACTAGTTTGATCTCCTTGCTGTCCAAGGAACTCTTGAGAGTCTTCTCCAGCACTTACCAAACCTGCTAAAAAGCAGAGATATCACCTTGCCAACAAAGGTCCCTATAGACAAAGTTATGTTTTTTCCATAGCTTTTGTTGATATTTCTTGATTCCAGCTTGTGAGTCATCCAGCCTGGCATTTTGCATGATAAATACTCAGCATATAAGTTTAAAACATGGTGACGATATACAGTCTTAATGTACTCCTTTCCCAATTTGGAACCAGTCCATTGTTCCATGTCTAGTTCTAACTGTTCCCTCTTATCCTGCATACAGGTGTCTCAGGAGGCAAGTAAGGTGGTCTGATATCCCCATCACTTGAAGAATTTTCCAGTTTGTCATGATCCACACAAAGGTTTTAGTGTAGTCAATAAAACACAAGTAGATGTTTTGTTTGAAATTCCCTTACTTTTTCTATGGTCCAGTGGATGTTGGCAATTTGATCTCTGGTTCCTCTGCCTTTTCTAAATCCAGTTTGTACATCTGGAAGTTCTTGGTTCAGAAGTTCCAGAACTTCCTCAGTTCTGGAAGTTCACATACTGTTGAAGCCTAGCTTGAAGGATTTTGAGCATTACTTTGTTAGCATCATCTATTACTGGGAAAAGACATCTTGATTCAGTTCAAGAGTACTTGTTCCTAGATTTGAGACAAGTTTGGAACCAATCAATTAAATGGCATAAAATAAGAAAAAAGTGGAAACAAGACAGAGAACCTGGTAATCAGTTCCTGGTGTTAAGTCACTGCTCCCAGAGTTTCCTGCCTATTCAAACAGTGGAGCCATGACAGCAATCAAGAGATAATCACCCTATTTTAAGATGTTGTAGTTACTTGTATCTTCTAGCTTACCAGTCTTTTAGGCAACATTGATGATCACAAAATGGCCCTAGATTTTTCTATGAATGAAATCACAATGAATGTATGGAGTCTTACTCTAGCCAAAATACATGAGATTTTAGAACTTTTATTCAACAAGTGTCTGACTAGTTTGTTTGGGCACTAGTCTCTCAAGTGAAACTTAAGCTCAGGAAGTTCCCAAGTTCTTTTACAGACATCATAACCACTCTTTACCATCCTCAGAGAAAAAGTTGAGGATCTTTTTATGCTGGCTTCCTCCTTACTCACACCCAGTAATTCAATCATCTTGTCTAGGAATAAGTTGTTCAGATTTCTAATTTATCAGTGACTTGTAAACCAAACCTTAACTGACCTTTCCTAGTTTACAAATTTCCTCCCTAGTTACTTTGTTACTACATTGCTCTAAATTTGTAATCTTCAAAGCAATAGTTTCTTCTTTAAGGTTGTAAGGAACCTTCTTTAAATCAACTATATCCCTAGAGTAGAACAGAATAAACCACTGCAAGTCAGTAGATGTTACTCTGGTTTCTAGCTCTTCATACTCTTGTTGAGCTAAGATCTCCATGTGAAGAGGGCAAATGCACGGACAAAATTCTCCAGAACAGAACTGGGTTGTACTAGGCTAGGGTTGTTGAAAAATAATGCAGATAGCTATTGCCAGTAAGTATTTTCCACAAAGCAGGTGACATTGTAGGGGGTGTAGCTCAGTGGTAGAGCGCGTGCTTAGCATGCACGAGGCCCCGGGTTCAATCCCCGGCACCTCCAGTTGGGGCTTGGCTTTTCGAGTAGCAATTGTTCAGTGCTACTTAAGGTAGCTCTTAGTTTTCCTACCTGTTGAAACTTGTCACTCATAACTCGTGCTGATTTGCTCAAACTTATATTCTTGAAATTGGACAATGTTGCTTTACAATATTCTGTTGGTTTCTGGTGTACAACCATGCGAATCAGTCGTAATTATATACATATCCCCTCCTTCCGGAACTTCCCTCCCTTCCCTCTAGCCTTCCCACCTCCCATCCCCCGCCCTTCTAGGTTATCACAGAGCTCCAGGCTGGACTCCTTGTGTTATATAGCAACTTCCCACTTTACACATGATAGTATTTATATATGTCATGCTACTTTATCAATTCATCTCAGAGCCAACTACATGGTAGTGTAGTTCTTTTTTTTTTTTCTTAAGCTCCCCCAACCCCTGCTCCCTACTGGAGTGAAGTAAAATGAGGGAGATTTAACTCTCCTGTTGACACTCAGGTGGCTCTATGGCTTAGTTGGTTAAAGCGCCTGTCTCGTAAACAGGAGATCCTGGGTTCGACTCCCAGTAGGGCCTTTCCTTTTTGCTCGAAGGTAGGGCAAACTTCTGAAAATTTTATGTTGGCTAGTTAACTGTGTTTTCTTATTGATCCTCCACAAATTCTCACCAAAGTTACAGCCCTAGAACTCTATCGGATACGTTGCAGGTTGTTTGATTGCAACTGCCTCAGGTTCCTTACTTTTAAAAAGAAGTAAATTAAAAAAAAAAAAGTAAATTCTTGGGAGATGACAATTCAAATGCAAACCACCTAATACTGCATGTTACTTTATACCTCAATCACTTTTCAAATAGGTTTTGCATTAAACTGTGGTAAAATGTTTTTGATCACCTACAGTGTTACTAGACAGAAAAATATGTATAAATCTGTCTAGGCTCTTAACAGTCTCTAGCTCTATAATTGATTTCATTAAATAAGATAATGAACAATGAATCTATTACTAGCTACAAAGGAAAATTAGGATGTTTGCAGGGTCATGCTTCACATTTTGAAGAGATTATGAGGAAGAATAGTATATTCCCATGCTATCTCTCTTAAGGAAAACATTAGAATATTTCAGGAATGATGATCAACTGGAAGGAAAAATGTCTTAGATACAAACACCCTAGAGCTAGGACAAAATCACTGTGAAAAGAGCAAGCTGGAGAATTCTGCCAGATATCTAAAGAAAGGTAGATTCAGCCCTAGAGACTTATGGAGCTTCCTTGTCTTTTTGTCTCCTATTGATTCATCAATTAATTCAACAATGTAAGCTGCTGGTTTTTTATGTACCAGGCATATTTCTGTCTTTCTTTCCTTTTATTTTCAGTTACATTTTTTCCCATGTTATGGGAACTTTTAAGATCTACTGTCTTAGCAGCTTTTAAATATACAATTCAGTATTGTTAAGTGTAGTCACCAACCTGTGAATTACATCCCCAGGACTTACTTATCTCATAAATGCAAGTTTATACCTTTTGACCACGTTCGCTCATTTTGCCTGCCACCCCTCATCCCTGCCTCCGATAACTACCCCAGGAATATTTCTAAGGGCAGGAAATACAGTAGCAAACAAAGCTAACAAAAAGCACTGCTGTCGTGGATCTTACATTCTCCTGGGGGTGACACGAAAAATAAAGAAAGTAATATATAAAATAAGTAAGCAAATAAGATACTGATGAAGTCTGCAGAGAAAAATAAAGCAATGAAAGAGTATGAGGCGAGCATAGGATGCTGCTGCTGCTGCTAAGTCACTTCAGTCGTGTCCGACTCTGTGCAACCCCATAGATGGCAGCCAACCAGGCTCCCCTGTCCCTGGGATTCTCCAGGGAAGAACACTGGAGTGGGTTACCATTTCCTTCTCTGATGTGTGAAAGTGAAAAGTGAAAGTGAAGTCGCTCAGTCATGTCCAACTCGTAGCGACCCGATGGACTGCAGCCTACCAGGCTCCTCTGTCCATGGGATTTTCCAGGTAAGAGTACTGGAGTGGGGTGCCATTGCCTTCTCCAAGAGCATAGGATAGAGCTGGACTAACCAGAATGTCATCTGTTCTTTAGTAAAATCACTGACATGTTAAAATATAATTTTTTAACTTTTTGATGAGGAAGTGGTGGCTTCCCTGGTGGCTCAGACGGTAAAGTGTCTGCCTACAGTGTGGGAGACCAGGGTTCAGTCCCTGGGTTGGGAAGATCCCCTGGAAAAGGAAATGGCAACCCACTCCAGTACTCTTGCCTGGAAAATTCCATGGACTGAAATGCCTGGTAGGCTACAGTTCATGGGGTCAAATAGCCATGAAGTGGCTACTATTATTACTCTAAGAACTTGAGTAGCAATATTAAATAGAAAACTGATGCTCCTCCCCCCAACAATGCCTGAATCTGACTTCTGTTCATTTTGAATTAGAGCTTTATTTAACTAGTTCCCACTGCCTGTACTCAAATCTCAACTGTCCCACTTATTAGCTACGGTACCTTTGGTAAATTGCTTTCTC